ATCCCAACTCATTCTGGCAAACAGTTAAGAAAATCCTGCCCTCCAAAAGCAAAAAACCATCACCAAAACTCAAAGTCAACGGTCAGGTAATAACTGAAAAAAGCTCAATTGCAAATTATTTCAACAATGTCTTTGTAAATACAGCTATCAACCTTTGCAAATCGTTTATAAATGCTGCATTGAACCTCTCGTCAAGTATATCTTTAACAAGAGCTATGACCTCTACTTTTCTGTTTACTGATATTTCTGAATCAACTGTTCTGTCTGAAATCTGATGACTTAAATCAGGCAAAGCTGTGGGCTTGGATAATATTCCACCAAGACTTCTAAAGGACGCTTCTGCAATGGTCACTAAACTTATTACAGCAATAGTTAATGCTTCACTGTCTCAGAGCAAAGTTCCAGACGACTGGAAAGCTGCTTATGTCATTCCATTATTTAAGAAAGGGAGGAAAGACGATGTTGTCAATTATTGCCCCATATCTATCTTACCTGCAATATCAAAGTTACCTGAATGAGTGGTGCATACTCAACTAGTAAGTTATTTACAAGAAACTGTCTACTTAGTCCATTCCAATGTGGGTTTTGCAAACAACACTCAACAACATTTGCAGCTGTCTTTTGTGGACACAATCCGGTGGAATATTGATCATGGTTTTATGACAGGAGCAGTTTTTGTGGATTTGCTTAAGGCATTCGATACAATAGAACATTCTAAGATGTTGGCATCGGTGGTGCCTCGTCTGATCCTCTACACATAACATCTGGTGTTCCACATGGTTCCATATTGGGCCCTCTACTTTTTGTTATTCATATCAATGATTTGCCCCTCTGCATTAAGATTTGTAAAGTGCTTATGTACACAGATGATACCGTTCTGTTTTGTGCCAGATCTAACTCTAAAGTCATCAAAGACAATCTGAATCAGGGCCTGAATACATTTGGTAAATGGCTTCAAGTGAACGGCTTGTTTCTTAATACCACCAAGACTGAAGCCATGCTATTTGGAACTCATTCTAAACTGTCCAAACAAAGACTTTGATATTACTTTTCATGGACAAAGTTTAAAACGGGTAAACATGTTCACTTATCTTGGTATTATATTTGATGAGACTATTTCTTGGGCTCCCCACATTCAGTACATTTTACCTAAAGCTGGCAAAAGATTAGGTATGCTATCTCGATTACAAAGAGATTTAACTTGTCATGCTGCCAACACTTTATATCTATCATTTATCCATCC